TGGGGATGAGACATTATTAAGTAAATACGTAATTATCTTGAATATATTAACCATTTCTTTATTTTCCGATCGCCTCAAAGTGACAAAAGAAAGAATATACGCTGACTTGCAATTCATGTGATTTTGAGAAGTGGACTATTTTTGAAAATTTTCAGTAGATGTCTTTAATACGTGTCCCATTTTACGTTCCATATTATAGCTTCAAATTATCGGACAGTAAATTCCTTTCCTGAAGAAAATAGGGGACATTTGCTAGCAATTGTAAGAAGGATTATTCATCTCTTCAATTAATTAAGTCAGGTGGTATACCAATCATCAGGGGTAGCTGTCTGATATTGAGAATTTTTTGCTAGCTAGGACTTGCTTTTCATGGCCAAATGACGGACACTTAATATCATGTGTGTGTGTGTGCGCGCATATATATAGTCTAAAGCTTAAGCATTGCAGTTACAGCTGGTGCCATGTTTTCAATTTTTATTTCGTTTTTCTCCCTTTTTTGGTTGGTACAATCTTCATCAGCTGGACCTTTACGTGTTCTGTGACTGTTAAGTTTGACCTGGGTTGAGAATCAAATTTGACATTTTGCACTTGATGATTCAAACTCAAGAGATGTCTATCCATTATTCTTTTCCCTGTATTTATGGCGGCAACACATGTGCATTAATGATTGTGACATTTCTGTTAGTTCTTTCTGGTTTTCTGGATTTACATTTGGCACTTAGTAACTCAGAGTCAGTGATGGGTATCTCTTACTGCATACTATTTTGCTGCTCCCTGGCATGAAACTCGAAAATATAACGAAAATTACTTTTTGATCACTAACATAAGCTTGAAAAATTTGATGAATCATGCTCTGTAGATGTCCTAATATTGTTAATGATTGTTTGATATCTTTATAGGTGAAGAAGTTGGGGCTTTATGCTGCCAGTGTTGCTATTAATGAAGCCACAAATCTGATGTCGAACTTTAAGTAAGCTTTTTGTTATTTGGTCATGTTATTCATTGTTTTTGCATGTTTCTTGTGAAATGAAAAAGACCAGTGTGATCGATTACTGAATTATGACAAAATTCTGGACTTAACTAGGTTTTATATTTACTAGCCTTTCACGAAAGAAAGATGTCATCCAGATTAATCTTTCAAAGATTTCCTCAAGATGGCGGATAATAAATGCAAACTTGATTTTCTTGTGATTGTTATGAGTATAAGCAATACTACCTGTAGTGGTTGTAGCATAGAAACAAGTCAACAACAGCCTTCAGATCCCAGGGTCGAATTTCAGCTACAAAACTAGGTGTGAAGCTCATCTGCTCCAGCCTTCGTAAGCTGCATCACACTTGGCAATATGTACTTGTCGGCTAGACAAGCTGCCAGGTCTATTGGCTGAGGTGCATGCAAGCTGGTCCCCTACCACCGGATATTGTAAAAGGTCAACAATACAAACCTTGTTATGAGTATAAGCAATACTACCTGTAGTGGTTGTAGCATAGAAACAAGTCAACAACAACCTTCAGATCCCAAGGTCGAATTTCAGCTACAAAACTAGGTGTGAAGCTCATCTGCTCCAGCCTTCGTAAGCTGCATCACACTTGGCAATATGTACTTGTCGGCTAGACAAGCTGCCAGGTCTATTGGCTGAGGTGCATGCAAGCTGGTCCCCTACCACCGGATATTGTAAAAGGTCAACAATATAAACTGGTAATTGTTTCTTAAATGTCAGCTGGAATCACACTGCCAAAAGACAAAAGACGTAAGTCTATTCTGACGACTTGGACAAACCCATTTGCTGAAAATGATGCATATTCAAAGAAGAAATGAACTAAATTATCACTTTGAAAAGTAGTTCAGTGCCAATAAAAGTTCAAAAAAATTTACCCAGATTTCTTCCCAAAATTTCTGCTCCCTCTTTGTGGTACTTTCATCCTAGTTTCAGTCTAATGCTTACATTCGTCAACTGGTTTTGGCCAACTGTTGTTAGGGATTTAATCAGTCTAAGTCTAACTACTTCGACAGCTCAGCTAGTTTAGGTGAAATTAGATGTTCACACTATAAGCCACGAGCATCTCCTGAATGATAATTGATAATGATGAACTTCCAATTGGAGCTCTAGGCGGACACCTTTAATGATAGTGATCCAAGGGTTCGTGGAACTACAATGTCTAGGGCGATAGGAATGTCAAGAGACAAGGTTTAAGTTCACAAAATGGATGAATATAAATATCTAATCAAAACGGCGGCCAAACTTGGGTTGACCTGATCATTGTGTTATTGATACTGAAATATGATGATCTCTTGCATTTTGCCCAAACATCAGTAAAATGATATTTGTTTTTCTTCAACATAGTGGCCAACCCTAAGAACTATTGCCTTTTTTCGCAGCTGGTATTTGTCTTTAGCTGATTTTCACATTTGAAGACATCCCCTGCCCCGGCATTTCTTGTGGCTAATTAGTTGATCTGAGGCATATTAAAATTTGACTTTTTGATATTCACACTCCTGAAATGAGCAACTTTGTATTTCATCTGGCAGTGCTCCTCAATCTTGTGATGAATTGCAACAGCAAGAACAAGCTGCCGAAACTGGGAGCTCCATTGCAGAAGGCCTAGGTGGGAGTCCATCAGCTATAGTAACCAAGAGTTGAGGCTTATCTTATTTTAATATGACGGTTTGCAAGTTGTATAGTATATTGTATTTGATTCCAATCATTTGGTTGCATTACAAGGCATGTCTATTTTTATATAGTACTTGTTTTTCGTGTTTGTAGAAGTAATGCCAGGCGTTTCTTTGAAATGTCCTCATGGCTCATTGAAGCTTGTAACGAATTCACTTTCACAGGAAATGCAGAGTAGGAAGAGTCTCATATTGATATTTAATCCAAGTGGAAATATTACAATTCTACTGTATTGACTGCATTCTGTCTCCCATTTGCTCCAGCTATGAAAGAAAAGAATAGATGCAATACTTTATTTTGTTCTACCACTCTTTGTTTGCTTTTGGCCCCCCGAACTCCTGCACAGGGGGTCAGATCTTGGGGTAAGCTCTTTTCCGTATGTAGCCTATGGCGAAAAGACAAGAACAGAGGGAAGAGAGAGAAGGGAGAATGAAGGAAGAAAGAGAGAGAGAATCAGAAAGAGTAGAGGGAGAGAAGGGGAATCAAGAGGCAATGGATAAGGAATACTTTTAGCCGGGGAAGTGCACAATTAGCTACTATTGTATTTACTCAAGTCACTGTTTAAAATGTATTTACTCGTTAGTCGGTGGTTTAATAAGTTTTTACCAGTCCGGACAAAAATACCCTTGTGCTAGACATGTCCTTAACTTCACGAATGTTGTGTAAATATTAAGGACAAAGTGTCCTGAATTAGCACCTTCTTTAGGACATCATGTCCTTAACTTCATATGTGCAATGTAAATATTAAGGACAAAGTGTTCTGTATTTGCACCTTCTGTTGCTAAATATTAGGACATCATGTCCTTAACTTCATATGTGTAGTGTAAGTGTTAAGGACACGGTATCCTTAACTTCATGCGTGCAGTGTAAATATTAAGGACATGATGTCCTTAACTTCATAAGTGTTGTGTAAATATTAAGGACATGATTGTATTGTATTTGCACCTTTTGATGTTAAACATTAGGACATCATGTCCTTAACGTCATATGTGCAGTGTAAGTGTTAAGGACATGGTGTCCTTGACTTCATGTGTGCAATGTAAATATTAAGGACAAAGTGTATTGTATTTGTACCTTCTGTTGTTAAACTTTAGGACATCATGTCTTTAATATTTTTACACAGCACTCATGAAGAAAGGATAAAACTGTCTTTTCGTATTAATTTTAATAGAGTAGTAGCTATATAAAAATTAAATACCACATTAAAAAAGTGGTTACCCCACGCCATTTCTACTGAATGATCTGACTACTTCTTGATTCTCTAACCAACCTTTTAACAACTTTACTAACCACTTCTTGGTTCCCACTTCCCTCAACATGCATTTACCCCAAATCGTGACAAAGCTGAACTATTTTTCCCTTTCAGAAAATGGAATTCAGTTAACCAAGTTTTTGAGTTAGCAAAGTTGGGAAAAGAAAAGTGAAAATTTAAATAAGCCGTTTACCTTCTCTCTCTCTCAAAAAAAAAAAAAAGGAAGTGAAGATTTCAAGAATTTCGTAGTATTATTTTTAATTTCGAATGCTTTTTTACCAGCATTTGGTATCAATTCGTGTCAGGTCCCAAAAATGGTAGCTTGAATGCCTCTAAGTTATGAAATTTTAACTAGGAAAACTTATTGAATAATGAGAATGTGCTAGTTTTCCTGTTAAAGTCTCTTGCACATAAAGATTTTGTGTTTTATCATGGTCTAACAACATAGATGATGTATACGTCATAACTTGCTGATATACGATAACTATTATGAGATATAACCATTTATACTCTAACAAAAGTAAAAATATTTCTTCTCATTTTTTACACTTTGATTAACAAAATTACTTAATATTTCTGTTGATAAAAGATTACAAGTATTGAATGAAATGAAGCAATTGTAATGCACCATTAATATACAAATTTGGTAAAAGAGGTAAAATCTGAATAAAGGATATGAATTTAATACTCCATGAAATTATCAAAGCGAAATTTTTTTATTCAACATTAAGCTAACACCAATTTGTTTATAAGAAATATCATTTCTATATTCTCAAGGTAGGAGATAATATTTGCGCACCCTCCCACCTCTATTGTTGTCGTTGTAGTAATAAACTATACCAATTTACTATGACTATTATGACTATGTAAGAGAAGTCTATATGCAAATATATGTCCTGCACCTATTAAAATCGGCTGTAATATATATATATATTTTAATCATTTACCATTGTACCCCCACCCCCACGCCCACCCGTCAGCTACCTAACTTAGAGAATCGGTACGACGTCGTTTCTTACTTGGCATAGAATCATGCAGGATGCGCCAAAAATAGATATTCCGGAAAGATTGTCCTTCCTACCAAATTAAAACTTTCATTTTCTTTGCCTGCTTTCACTCCTTGTTCGGATATTTCTGTACTCCTCTACAAAATCCTCCTTCCTCCATCATTCACTTCTCTAAAAACCTCAATCTCAAATTCCCACGAAACAATTTCTCAATTTCGGATCTTCTTTGTCTGATGGGTCATCTCCCAAATCTCACAAAAGTCTTCTCTTCTCCCACAAAGCTCCAATCTTGAAATTCTATTCTTCTTCTTCTTCAGACATATAAAGAAAGTATTTCCTACTGAATTTTCACTTTTTTAAACTAAGCACATATGGCAGCTGCATTTAGATCGAAACACAGAGCCTCTATGGCTATAACCCACTTCAGATACTTCATCATCAATGATTTTCATACGGGTCGTTTACCCAATTTCCATTTATGTACCCGAACCAGCAAATGGGACAATTTGCTCTCAAACTCGTCTGCTCCTCATAATTCTTCTTTATTTAAGCCTGTTTCATTTCTTGGTGAATTCAAGAGTTCACAGAATTATTCAAATAGGAAGAGTAATAAGAACAAAGGGAAAATAAGCATGTCTTCTAGTAGTAACTACGGGGGGGACCCACCTGAGATTTGGCAGCCACCTGGTGGTGAGGGAATTGTGGTTCGTCCAGGTGTCAAGTTTGTTCAGGCTGGTGAAGGGGAAGGGGGTCCCGGGCCGGGTTCTGGAGGTGGGTTTGGTTCCGGGTCGAAAGATGGGTCTTGGGGTGGATCCAATTTGGGTGCCCATTTTCCTACACCCAAGCAACTGTGTAAAGGGCTTGATAAGTTTGTTATAGGACAGGAGAGAGCTAAAAAGGTAGTCTTTTTCGAGTTTTCTCTTTTGGAATTGATAATTCTGAGTACCCTTTGAGTGTAGATAAAAAGATAGTTAAGCTTGTGGTTTTTATGCTTTCTTTGTTGATTACAATACTAATACAACAAAAAAGCACTATTCTTGAGCTGCTGGAGTGACTTCCTTCATCATTTTGTAATTCAATTTGTGATTGCAGGTTCTGTCTGTAGCCGTATACAATCATTACAAGAGAATATATAATGACTCTTCACATAAGTGGTTAGTTTTGATCACTGCATAATTTCCACATTGTTTTCACCGACCCCCTTCCCTGTACTTTATGTTTTACCTCTGACGTGTGAGTTGTAACATGCGCTATGAAGTTATTTGGACCGTGGGAAGTCAGAGATGGAAATGCCTGATGCAGGCATTTGCCACTTTTTTTACTCTTCTAATGCTATTGTTTAAATGTGATAACATAGGCCCGCAGGAAATGACAGTAGTGAAAAGGCAGATGGAGCAGAAAATGAATCCGTGGAGCTTGAGAAGAGTAACATCCTTTTAATGGGGCCGACAGGTTCAGGTAATCTTTATAATGATCCATTGTGCTTCTTGAAGTCTAAAGTGTGGTAAAAACGCATTGTAGACTAATTTGCCTGTTGCGTAGTGGAACTTTAGATTCATCAGCAGAGAAATCTTTTTCCCCCTTCTCCTGCTTTCGTTTTCTTATTAGTTGTGAAATTTTTTGAAAGACAGTGAGAAGTGCTATTCACTTGTAACATCCTTTTAATGGGGCCGACAGGTTCAGGTAATCTTTATAATGATCCATTGTGCTTCTTGAAGTCTAAAGTGTGGTAAAAACGCATTGTAGACTAATTTGCCTGTTGCGTAGTGGAACTTTAGATTCATCAGCAGAGAAATCTTTTTCCCCCTTCTCCTGCTTTCGTTTTCTTATTAGTTGTGAAATTTTTTGAAAGACAGTGAGAAGTGCTATTCACTTGTAGTGGTGGTATGAGGGACTCAAGCTAATGCTCATTGTCTGCTTCATAATGTCAAAAAGCAAACATGTGCGCTGATAAATAGATACTTCAGATTTAACTTCGTATATTAAGGCTAAAACTGTGATGATGAGAGGGCCACATGATTTTGCTTTAAGACTAATGATCATGTAATTTAAAAGCGTCATTCTCCTTTATTCNCGTTCCATTTGTGATAGCAGATGCGACTACACTAACTCAGGTATGTTGTTATCCTGTCACCTTGATAGAGATAGAAAACATCTATCCCAGCTTAATAATCTTTGCAAGAGATCAATTTTTGTCTAAATCTTGTTCCCTTCCATGCATTGTTGTTTTTGCGCATTATGTTAAGTTGTTTGAACATTAGAGACCCCATAAGCCTGAGGAACCGTCTCCGAATAGTCTGTTTGAGGTCAGATTTAGGTTGTGGAGGGTGGGAAATCTGGATTAGCTCAGGGCTGCAATTGAGCTTGTTGCAGTTTGATTCATTGTAAATGTAGAAGACCTGTCTCATCTATTGAAGATGAGAATGTTTGTAAGTGCTGGTGTTGTCATTTAAGGCCATGTAGTAGATTGGTGCATGTGAGAAGCTTTGATGGGACAAAGTCATTGAAACAGTTCTCCTTAGAAGCTGAAGGCAAGATGAGAAAAGAGTCTTTCTTGATAAGATGAGAAGAAAATGTTAGAAAAGTGAAGTTGTAAGAAGATGGAAATAAAGAATAGCTAATCTCATGACGATTAGGTTAGTTGCTCCGTCACACCTGAATTTCACTATTCAACAACTATGAAATTTCACGAGTCTAGCTCAAAATATTATTATTATTATAATTATTATTATTATTATTATTATTATTATTATTATTATTATTATTATTATTATTATGTCCATTAGGACTAAAATTGGGAAAACCTTGTTTTTTCATTCCAAGAGATTGATACCTTTGCAAATAGATAGAATGAGACTTGAATATCCTAATTTCGGCTAACATGAACATACAAGATGCCCATTTTAATCTATGTTTATCTTGAGTTTAAACAATGATAATTCCCTGGTGGCTAAGTTAATTTTCAGAGTATGTTTATTTAAATCCTTGCTTACCATGTTCCCAAAACTTAATTCTTGATGGTCTTTTCTAGAAGTAGAATAGCAGAAACCATTTGATGTTACTATTAGAAATAATTGGCACCTTGATGGGAGTCCCAGAGCTTTGGTTCCCATTCATGACAATACTTTTGTTTGCAGGCAGGATATGTTGGGGAAGATGTTGAATCCATTCTATATAAGCTCCTTACTGTAAGTACTATACCTTTTCAGTCTTTAATCTCAGTTTATTATTTTATTCCCATATCTCATTTCTTAGAGTATTTTACACGGAAAAAGAAGAAGAAATATTATCTTTTAATCCTTGCCAATTTAAGCATAGGTTTTAATTCTAGCCAATGTGATGCAGAAAAGTGCTTATTTGGTGATTTTGCTGAAAATGTTCTACTATATTTTCTATTTTACTGGAGGGGGCTGACAAATCAAGTTCTAGCTTTTTTCAAACTTGTAACAAAATCCTAGTAAAAGGAGTAGATATAGCCTATAGGATGTTTTGTTCTCCAAGCAATTTGGTGGCTAGAAGTCTATAGTACCAATTGCAACCTTTTTCATTTCTGTATTTATAGTAATTTTCTGTTTTGTGTGTCTAATTAACTCATCACCAGCAATCACTGCAATATCGAATTTAGGGTTTAGGAATGGAGGAGGAAAGAAAACTGGTTACTACTGTGAGATGTTCTTGCTTTTTAGTGGGAACATAATATTGTTTTGCATCCTTTCCAGTGATTTCTAGCCTTGATATATGTTATCCTTTGATTATTCTGGTCTGATTTTATTTCAGGTTGCTGACTATAATGTAGCAGCTGCTCAGCAAGGCATAGTGTATATTGACGAAGTTGACAAGATCACGAAAAAGGTAGATGTTAGCTCATAGACTATACTTTCCTTTTTCAGATTAAACTTTCGCTGGCGACTTTTCATGTGTCAATTTAGCTGATTCCTATTATACTGACATTTCCAGGCTGAAAGCCTCAACATCAGTAGGGATGTCTCAGGAGAGGGCGTCCAGCAGGCATTGTTGAAGATGCTTGAAGGAACAGTAAGTGTTCACCTTAGTTTTTGCTTGTTAATCGTGAATCAATCCTCACAACTTTTATCAAATATGGGTATTAGTTGATGTCGCAAATGCAGAAGCAACTTTGACTGTTATTGGTCTGTTAAGATTAGAGCTAGACAAAAAGCTTTTGTATACGAAAATCACTGGGGTATGATGGACGGAGATGTTACACATAGGATAAAAGTAGATGGTTGAAATGGAGAGGACTACCGGGGTGTTATGTGATAGAAGGATACCCACAAAAGTGAAACGTAAGTTCTATAAAATAGTTGTAAGACCAGAAATATTTATATGAGAGTGAATGTTGGTATAAGATGAACTTAAAAGGAACAGCATGATAATTGAGGATTCGTATGGGTGACTTGCTTTGAAATGAGATGTAGCTGCATATGAAAATTACCAGGCTGTTATGGATGGATCACTAACTTGAGAGTTGGAGGCTTAGTGTTGGCTGCTTTGTCTTACTGAACTAGGTTTTAGATCCCACTGACTGGCTGAATGTGGCTCATCAACTATGAACTAACATTTATATTGCTGGTGGCCGTGATACCTGTTTCATCGCCTTTTGGTTTCTCGCTACAGTCTGCATGTGCTAACAATTCTTTCCTCTTTCTTCTCTACTCTGATGATGCTTGTCAGAATTGATTGAATATTGTGTCTCCAAAGCATTCGAAAAAGGATGGTATGGTTTCTAATGACCTTTAGATGTGACAAAGAATTTCTGTGATAATGGCCTGACTATCTTAGTCTGCGAACTTACTATAACAGATCAATTTACAATCTATAGTTCAGTTTTCTATGATTAGAAAAATGAATGGTTGCATCATTTGTTTGTTACTATAATGAGCTTTCTGTTATACTTATCCCAAAAGAAAAAATATTGAGTTTTTGGTACCCAGCGTAACAATAATGAGCTTTCCGGTGCAGATAGTCAATGTGCCGGAGAAGGGAGCTCGGAAGCACCCTAGAGGGGATAATATTCAGGTAAGATGGTTATAAAAGCACTTCTTTTTGGGATTAAGATGTTTCTTTCATTTTCAAGAGAAATTTGGGAAGTCCTGAAAGTAAAAATGTTGTTCTTAGTTCTTTTTTTTGAATTGGTAACTATTGTATATATTATAAAAATCAGTACATAGGTTGCACTGAAAACCAAATTTACATAGAGAGAATTTATAGATATTCTAATTTGAGACCTAGCAGGATCCTAGTATGTCTATGATTGTCAATGTATCTTCTGTGTACATCTGTTTGCACCAAAAACAAAATAGAAGAATACAATTGAGTTTGATCTTCTGCAGTGAATTGCTTCTGTCTTCAAAACATCTAGTGTTCCTTTCCCTCCAGACTGTCCACCAAATACATGCCGGAACAGTCCTCCATCTATCTCTGCTAGTTGCTTCAGCTCCAGCTTCTTCCCAGCTATAAATGACATCTTTAATCCTGTATGGCATTGACCATGAAATACCCCTAAGACTAATAAAGATTTTCCATAGTTGGTCTGTAATCTTGCAGTGTAGAAACATATGGTTGACAGTTTCTGCATTTTCCCCACACAGAAAACATCTTGAACACAGAGAAATTCCCCTTTTTATGAGATTATCCTGGGTTAAAACCGCCTCCTTTGCTAGTAGCCAAGTGAAGCAGGCTACCTTGTATGGAATCTTTGTTTTCCATATATGTTTCCAAGGCCATGTGTCTACCTGTTGATTATCATGATTCAAAATCTTATATGCATCCTTCACTCGGTAAATCCCTTTGTTGTGCCTCTTCCACCATATTGAATCCAAACCTTCCTGTAGTCCTGTAAATGCTTCCAGCTCTTTGTAGAGGTCAGTTAATCTTGTTATCTCCCAGTCATTCAGCTGTCTTCTTAGAGCTATTTCCCATCCTTGACAACTCCTCATATCAGCGACTGTCTTATGCTGGTTTTGTGCTAAACCGAACATATCTGGGTATCTTTCCTTTAAGCTTCCAATTCCTAACCAGTTATCATTCCAAAATGATGTGTTCCTTCCGTTGTTCACTCTTATGGAGGAGTGATTCTTCATTATTGGCCAAAGTTCTCTGATGGATTTCCACACACTTACTCCATATGATGTACTGACTTTTTTTGACACCCAGTTGTTTTCTTCACCATACTTTGCTTTGATCACTTTGGCCCATAAAGATTGGGGTTCTTTAGAGTACTTCCATAACCATTTAATTCTAAGAGCCTTGCTTTGGTTCTTCAAATTCCTTATCCCCAATCCACCTTGTTTTTTATCCATTGTTAGCGTCTTCCAATTGACTAAATGGAAGACCTTTTTCTCCTTATTGCCTTGCCAGAGGAATGTTCTTCGGAGTTTGTCCAATCTCTGTAAAATGCCTGCTGGAATTGGGAACAAAGACATCATGTAAGTAGGTAGAGAGTCTAATACTGAGTTGATTAGAACTAGCCTACCCCCCAATGATAGGTACTGCGATTTCCATCTTGACAACTTCTTCTCACACTTTTCTATGACTGAATTCCAGATTTCTTTTGATTTGGATCTTGCACCAAGAGGCATCCCAAGGTAAACAGTTGGTAGGGACCCAACTTCTCCTCCCAATATCTGAGTCAGTTGCCCCATGTTGTTAACTTCATTAATGGGAAAAATATTGCTCTTTCTCCAGTTAATGTGTAATCCTGATACTCCTTCAAATAAAACCAAAATGATCCTTAAGAATCTAAGTTGGTCTTTTTCAGCATCACAGAAGACTAGAGTATCATCAGCATATTGGAGATGTGTGATCTCTAGATTGTTAGCCCCACTCCTGTTTACCTCAAAGCCTTTAACCCATCCACTGACTTTAGCCGTTTTGATCATGTTGTTCAATCCTTCCATGGCTATGATGAATAGAAAGGGAGATAAAGGATCACCTTGTCTGAGACCTCTGTGTGAGTGAAAATAACCTTTAGGACTTCCATTTATAAGAATGGAGAATTTCACAGTAGATATGCAAAATTTCATCCATCTAATCCATTTTTGCCCAAAACCCATTTGTTCTAACATTCTTAGTAGGAAGCTCCAGTTCACATGATCATAGGCCTTCTCGATATCCAATTTGCATAAGATTCCAGGTTCTTTCTTTTTTATTCTTGAATCCACAGCTTCATTGGCAATCATCACTGCATCAATTATTTGTCTTCCTTTGATGAACGCCATTTGTTGAGCATCAACAAGTTTCCCAACCACCCTCTTAAGTCTTTCAGTTAAGACTTTTGAGAGCAGTTTGTAGAAGCTCCCTATCAGACTGATCGGTCTGAAATCTCTCAATTCTTTCGCACCTGTCTTCTTTGGAATCAATGCTATATATGTTGCATTGAAGCTTTTCTCAAACATCTCCTGTGAATGGAAGTTGTTAAAAGCCGCCATGATATCTTCCTTCAAAATGTCCCAACACTTTCTGAAAAAACCCATTGTGTATCCATCTGGACCTGGAGCCTTGTCACTTGCACACATCTTCAGACTGCTCAGCACTTCTTGTTCCTCAAAGTTACTCTGTAAAGACTCCCTTTCCGATTCAGAAATGCTTGGACTATTTTCGAAATTGACTGTTGGTCTCCACTGTTCAGGTTCTGTGTATAGCTCCTTGTAGAATTCAATAATCTCGTTCTCTATTCTTTCTGGATCCTCGATTACTTCATGTCGAATCATTATTTGGTCAATGTTGTTGTTTCTCTTGCGTGCATTTGCAGTCCGATGGAAAAATTTTGTATTCCTATCCCCTTCTTTGAGCCACAAAGCTCTTGATTTTTGTCTCCATGCAAATTCTTCATTCTTGAGTTGCACCTCAATCTCCATTAGAGTGGCTGCTTTCCTGACTGATTCCTCCTCTGTCAACGCTCTTAGTTGTTGCGTTGTCTCAAAATCTGCTAGTTGACTTAGCAATTTTGATTTCTGCAGTCCCAAATTGCCTTCGTAACTTCTGCTCCATCCTTTTAGCTTGCCCTTGAGAGCTTTTAACTTGCAAGCTAAAATGTAATCAGGTCTTCCTGAGAATTCAAAAGATCCCCACCACTCTCTAATTCTGTCCTCAAAACCTTCCACATTCAGCCACCAATTTTCAAACTTAAAGTATGATTTAGCTTGTTCCCACGCACCGCAGTCTAGAGCCACAGGTGAATGGTCCGAAATCAGCCTTTGTTGGATAGTTTGCTTGATGTTTCTGAGCCTTACATCCCATTCTTCTGAAATGAGAAATCTATCAATTCTTGAAGCCGCTGTATGATTGTCCCCTTTGAACCAAGTATAGTTTCCTCCTTCAAGTCGAAGATCTATCAGCTCCATATCTTCTATAAAATCCGAAAACTCCACCATCGCTCTGGACCTCCTTGAGCATTCCCGTTTTTCAGAAGGGTACCTTGTAACGTTAAAATCGCCACAAACCGCCCAAGGACCTTCCATCAATCCCCTCACTGCACCAATTTCACTCCATACTTTTTTCCTTTCTATTCTACAATTTGGAGCATACACTCCTGTTATGTGACATTGAAAATTCTGTAGAAGAGCGTCAAACTTGCACGTCAAAGTGTATGCACCAGTCTGTAACACCTCCCCTTTCCATACTCTGCAATCCCATAACATCAAAATCCCCCCTCTCGTGCCGCTAGCTTCTAAACTTGCATACCTAACCCATCTACCACCCCATATTTGCCTGACTATTTCCTCGATATCCCCCTCGACTTTTGTTTCTTGCATGCAAATAATGTCTGCCCTCCAATTCTGCACTTGACTTTTTATTATCTCCCTTTTCTTCTTATCATTTAGACCCCTTACATTCCAGGAAATTACTTTGATCCTCATATAGAAATAATTGATAGATCTCTTCCCCTACTCCTTTTCCCGTCACTCTTGAATTTGACATCGAAAGAAGTCAAACCTTTTAATTCCAGTGATCCTTTGAATCTTTGTTTCTTCACCTCCAACTCTGTCTCCACCCTTCTAACCTGTCTGCAGCTGTCAATTTGCATTAACAATTCCAGTGCTTCTTCTTCATGTCCTTGGAAATCTACTCCAAACATTTTCCCCAATTTGATCATATTTTGATGGACCCATATTGTTGCATCCATGTCTTTATCCAATAATGGATTGTGTTGCTGAACTGCTAAAGGATTCACCTCCTCAATTTCCCACTCTTGAATAGGGCTAAATTGCTTTAGATGTTCCAAAGTACTTCCCACGTGATCATTCCCCATCTTTGAGTTTATGCTTTGTTCCCCTTCCTTCTGTTCCAATCTTGCTAAATCTACTCCACCTTCTGGCTGACTGCAACTGGTAATTGTTTCCTTTTGCATACTTTCACGATTCATATTAAAGGTTTGATCCCCTGGAGGTGACTCTTTTGCCCCCGATTGAGAATGGCCTCCCATTTCCTCGATATAAGGCTTCAGCCCAGTATCATCAGAGATCTCACACGAGAGGTCATTAAAAATGACTTGTGCAGCCATATCGGGGCCATAGGATCTCAGCTTGACTTTTGACACTTTACTGCTTTGATTCATCGAAGTTGAACCTTGTGTAAATTGTCCACTTGCTTTTCCTTTACCAGTGTTTAGCTCATACCGTGTGTTTCTTTCAGCCCAGATTGGGATGAAGAATTTGGTACCATCTTTTTCAATCCCCACCTCATTGGGAGTCTTTCTGCCATCACCAACAATTTTGATTCTCGCCCACTTAAGATGGTTTTTGAGATCAGTTTCTTCTTCTGTAGCTAACCAACCCCCACAGAGATCTCCTATTTCTTTGAAGATCTTTTGTGACCATAGATGTAAAGGAATCCCCATGGCTCTAATCCAGCATGTTTCCTCAATTTGTGAGTTTGGAATGCAACCAGCTGTATGATTCCACCAATCCAGATGAAGCTTGTATTTTTTCCATCTCCATTCTCCTTGCACAATCTGCTCTGCCATGAATCTGTTTGGAAACTCAAAAAGAAACATGTTTCCTGTCATTTCATATATGTTTACTCCGGATGCTTTGTTCCATGAAGCACTAGCCCATCGCCTTATATCTGCTAAAGTGGGTCTCTCATTGATTTCTTTCCCTAAAGACCCGATAATGCATCTTTTTAATAGGCCTGTGTCCTCTCCTCCAGTAGGTTCCAAAACAGTGATATCGCCATTGTTCGTGCTGACCCTTGCCTCTCGAAGAGTATTGGATTGCCATTTACTCTCCTTAACTGCTTGGGCATAAGAGAAATTTTCCACAGTATTTCTGGGTGGTACTATGGGATTCAACTTGGTGGATATGAATCTCTCTATCTTAGCTGCTATGTCTTTCCAGCCAGAATTCAAAGTTAACTCTGGGATTATAATCACTGACCTCCCTTCTCTCTTCAGTGACAGAATACTCATATATCTTCCATGTGCGTTAAATTTCCTAGTACAGAAATGTTCTGTCATTTGCTCCTTGTACTTCCATCTCATCACTCGATTGTTTTGAACAGTCGACGCTTCTTTAAGTGCAAAGCATATCCATTCCATTGCCTTACTACCCATGGATGATCTTCTCATCATGTTGCGGCTTCTCTCCACCCATTCAAACCAAGTATCTTTGTTGGAGTTCCATCTGGTGATGTCAAAAGATTTGAATCCTGCGTTGAAGTATATCCTGTTGTCTCCCATATTGTACTAAACAGCTGCTCAGGTTATGGAATTTTAGGGGTTGTTTGGACGTTATCACCGTGAGCTATAGAGCTTGAAAAAAAGGAAACAGAGAAACCAGAATTCTGGACAGCGATAGATTCCCCGCCACCGGAAAAACTAAAAGTTGTCGAAATTCAGAAAAAGTTGTATGGGTGTGCTCGGAATTTCCCAACGATCATGCTGTCCAAAACAAAAATTTTGAAAAGTGGCCGGGATTGAGCTCACGCGCCGGCGCGTGGCGTTTGGCTCGCCGGAAAGTGCCGCGCGTGGCGGCGCGTGAGAGGCTGTTTGTCGGAACTGTTTTCAGAGGGTTGGTCGGAATTGAGTGAGCATGCTCATGGTGTTTATGGATCCTCAAGATTCCTTGTTCTCAGGCTCCTCGGGGAGTGTGCCTGAGAGCTCAAGAAAATAGAGAGAGAAAATCAGTAAGTAGACAGTTCTTTTCTTTTTTAACTTTTTGTTGTTGTTCTTAGTTCTTTAGTGTGAATTACTTTACCATCGATGAGCAATTGTGTATCATTTACTGTCTTTATAAGTGAGATATATTAACTGTTTTGTTTAGCCTTCTGGTGTGGGTAGAAGACATTTGTTTTGTAAAAAAGAAGATAAGGAATTTTGTACTTATTTTGTTTACTCTTTACGCTTTTCCTATTTGTTGGACGCCCATTTGAGCCTCTTCTGCCATGCTAGGTTATATTGTTGGTTTGATGCTCTACAGATGTGTCTTTGAGCCAAAAAATTCTATTAGCCTTGTTATTTATGTCATTACAGATTGATACGAAAGATATTCTCTTTATATGCGGTGGTGCCTTCATTGACTTGGAGAAAACAATATCAGAGAGGTCTTACTACTTGCCCATTGTAGTTCTTATTTTCTTTCCATTTAGTCTGACATCTACCTTATTCCTGCAAGATATACTTGTTGATGTTTTCAGGCGCCAAGATTCTTCTATAGGGTTCGGTGCACCAGTTCGCGCAAACATGAGGACTGGTGGTGTTACAAGTGCTGCTGTGACATCATCTTTATTGGAGATAGTAAGTTCTTCAATCTTGCAGCTTGGCGGACCGCCCAGAGCATATATACTAAGTACTTTTAGCTTGATTGTGGTTGTATTTTGCATTATCATAGATGTAGCACCATATTATCTGAAGTAAAAAACTGATGACTATGTAAATGCTAAGACGCCTATCGTCCCAATAAATTTAGTTGCATATGCATCAGATGAAGTCAAATATTTGCAACAACATGAACTGAGATAGTAACTTATTAATGTGCCAAGATGTGAAACTGTGTCTTTACTATTAGTTATCATTATTCTCCTGCATATCAAACACCCTTTTACTGGGATTCGATTTTCTCCTTGTTGTATTTTGCAGATGGGGAGTTGTATGTGCTTGTGTTTCATTTACTTCCTCTTACCCAAAATGGTTGACCTTACGCTTCATGGCAGACTTCTTTTTCCATGTTCCATTAGAAGTGATCTTTCACTTAGATTTTTAAATATATTTCTTTTGTCATTTTGATATGGAAAGGTTCTGACTTATAGTACTTTCATGTAGTTTCTAAATATTTAAGTTTTATCTTTTAAATAAATGGATTATTTTATGGCCAATTTAGCTGCAACAATAACAAAAAAAGACAAACAAGTTTGCTTATCTACTTCTTTTCTGATGGGTAACTTTTTGAAGTATTTACTAATCCTATTACATAATTCTCCTGTTATGCAGGTTGAAAGTAGTGATCTAATATCATATGGTCTGATACCTGAGTTTGTTGGACGATTCCCCATCCTTGTTAATCTGTCAGCTTTAACGGAGAATCAACTTGTGCAGGTAATGCTAATGTCTTCTGTCACTTTGGTTCTATAGTACTAACTGCTTTATGCACATAATTATGATTTTATGGAAAGCCGTTCTTCTTTGTTTGTTTGAATAAGGTGGACATGGTTGGACATTATTTATGCCTTTGGGTTACTCTTCTAGGATTTTCATTCAGAATATGAGACTATATGCCAAATCTAGATTGTTTGTTCCCTTCTCACTGTTTTGATTCTTTGCAGGTTCTAACTGAGCCAAAAAATGCACTAGGGAAGCAGTACAAAAAGATGTTCCAAATGAATGGGGCGAGTATTTGCCTCTCTAAGAAACTTCTCTGTATATGCATAAAGATGCATTTGCATTGTTTTATCTCTTTCAGATCCTGCTCGCATTTTATTTCTTTGGGCAAGGAGCAGGAAGGAACTTTTCTGGTTTTCCTTTACTTTTATTACCAGGAACTTACTTTTCTCATACTCGGAGACTTCTTTCTCAGGTAAAGCTGCATTTCACTGAAGATGCGTTAAGATTGATAGCTAAGAAAGCAATATCTAAAAATACTGGTGCTCGTGGATTGCGATCCATATTGGAGAGCCTCCTGATGGATGCTATGTATGAGGTGTGTAATTCGTCTCTCTATCTCTGTCTTTGGTTGACATACATCATATAGTGAGGGCTGCTTGGAAGAAATGTTCCTTTAGGTGGTGTATGCTGATCTTGAAATGAATTTACTAATTGTGTAAACCACAGTACTTGGCATTATGATACACTGAAAAAATAAGGACTCGACGATTCGTTGTGTGGTATTTCTCTCCGACTGGGATAATCTACTAAACATAATGTGTTAAAAAAACTATGAGGTCTTATCTCAAATTCTGCACATCTTTGTAATTGTACTTAGAATATGCAGGTTCAACTCTGTGCATTTGAATATTACAGAGTACTCTGAGTTGATGACAAATACTTGGTTGTCACTGAATATATATATGAAAGCTTTAGCTGAAAACAGTTGTAAACTTAATTAACAGAAAACAATTAATCAAAACCTTGAGGGAACCATCAAAACAAAATTTAAAATAAACTGGAGGCCGCGTAGGGCAGCCTTGGCGTAACTGGTAAAGTTGCTGCCATGTGACCTGGAGGTCACGGGTTCGAGTCGTGGAAATAGCCTCTTGCAGAAATGCAGGGTAAGGCTACGTATAATAGACCCTATAGACCCTTGTGGTCTGGCCCCTCCTCGGACCCCGCGTATAGCGGGAGCTTAGTTCACTGGGTTGCCCTTTTTTTTAAATCCTGGTGGGATACATTCTTCACAAGATGTAGTGTGTTGCCTTGTTCGATCAATACCACAATTATCTTTTATTTCTATTTTTTCATTCTTTTCCAGTAGAATATTTCTAATTTGTATGTTTGCAGATTCCTGATGTCAGAACAGGCGATGACATAATAGATGCCGTTGTAGTTGATGAGGAGTCTGTCGGAGCTGAGGGGCGAGGATGTGGGGCTAAAATCCTTTATGGCAAGGGTGCATTTGATCGCCACTTTTCACAGAATAGACCAAAGGATTATGAGGTTAGTTTAACCTCTCCTGATCTAGGATATATGTGATATGATGGAAATCATTTCAGGAAAATGTTTTCCATTAGGAAGTCAGGCATTTCGTCTGGAGGAAGTCATGTTCCAAGAAATATATTTTCCATCAAAAGGGAGAAAATACTTCCCTCACTTATCGGCAGATGTCATTTTCCTTAGGAGTTACGACTATCTTTTCTTCAGTTAGTCAAAAAGTTTCATTGACAAACACCAAGTCGGTGTTATAAATTTTCCTAACAACTATATTAAACCTTTAACCTCATATTAGTTACTTCAGCTAACACTTAAACATTATTATTAATCTTTATTACTTAAAATTTTCATTGAAATGCTCTCTGATATGCTAATGTTATTATTAATCTTTAATGGGAGTGCTTTTCTTTTCTGAAAATATTTTCTATTCACCAACCAAACATTTGTTCTAAATACAATGTCAAATCATACTATTAAGGGTCCTTTGCTTAACAAACAATTATACAGGGATTGTAATATAGGGATTAGTAATATAGGGATTAGAATGAGAGATTAGTAGAGGGTGTTGATGATGGATTGAGGAAAAGACAAGGGGTAATTTTGTCTTCTGTGTTTAATCCATGTAATATTACTTAATTCATGTACTGTTGTCCCCTGCTATATTATGTAATAAACACCAATTGGTGTATTAAATTATATTAGGATTAACTATGCAAGATTCAAAATACACACCAAACACTGAATAAGGAATTCCAAATTTTATGCCATGCATATTTCATCTTATACCTCAAACGAAACAAGTCCTTAACGTTTTTCGTGTTGTGCTACTACAGACAAACCTGGAGGGGTCTGACGGAGACCATGAGGCGGAACAAGAGCTTCCTTCCATTGTTGCTTTGTAAATGTTCTGTGAGGTGTATTTCTGGTCTCACTTGTGTACAGTATTCTAAATTCAAATAAACATTGTTAATTTAATAAGCTCAATGTGCTTTCATACTGCATTTTTGTTGTGTTTTACTGTTATCTTGCTATTTATTCTTTGATCTACTCCAGCTATAATTCTGAAGTTAGAACCATCCTCCTCAACTTTCCTCTTGGCCATTATTTGAACTGACCATGCTCTTATGTGCTAGTCATCATTTAGAAAGGGTTGAAGGACTGAGGAACTTTTTATTCTTTTTCGGTCATTCCTTTTATATCATAGTGTTTGTAACACGGTTTCTCCAAATGGCCATCTTTAATTATTTGCTTGAATGGCCTCGGGGCTTTGGCCTAGTGGTAAAAGTGCAACACATGATATGTTGTGGAGGCGCATGTTATTGGTGGATTAGGTGTGTGTCACTAGTTCGAACCTTAACGCAGTCAAAAGCTTGGTGTTTAAGTGGAGAAAAGCACTCCACCAGCACCACCAACAACAAACACGGTATATTCCCACAAGTGAGTTCTGGATGGGTAGTGAGTACGTATACCGTGAATGTAGGGAGGTTGTTTCTAGTAGACCTTCGGCGAGGGAAAAGCAAGACACCCTACTACACTATATGATCCAGTGGGCTAAGACACAGAAGAGCTGTAAGTTGTAGTTAGCTATCGTTTTGATTATTGCACGTAGAATGATAATGATAGCAATTTGGGTGGGGACCTTAATTGGACAGAGTAATGAGGTGTATAAAATGATATGTTTTGGTACATTCTGGCAGCTGTTTGAACTAAGATTTCTTTTGTAAAAGATTAGGTGTAAGCAGTTGCATAATTTTATTGTCTCCTATTTACCAAACTCGTGCACCAATTATTGTCTTCCCTTTTTGCCAGTCCACGTTTCTTCCCCACCATTGCCTTTCTAGACATTTTTTATGCGATTAGCTTAGTAATTATCATGAAGATACGTACCAATGAAAGTTAAATTTGTCAAAATAATAACTGAGGGTGCATATCCTTCCGTTCAAACTCAAAGTCGCGTAAAAAAACACGAACCCACGCTTAGTTTTATACTCCCTCTCTTTCCTTTTATGTGGCTTTCTTTTTTTAGTCAGTTAAAAACGATGTCTATTTCTTATATTTCGTAATAATTTAATGCCTATTGTATTATGATTTGCAGTCGTGCAAATATTTATGACTTATTGTAAATCACAAGTTCTAAATTTTTTATTTTTTAAAAAAAATATATATATAATTGTGCCCAATCATAACCATCACATTCGGATGGAAAGAGTAATTTGAACTATCTATCCTTTATTCAAGCTTGTAGAAAATCCAAAAATGTTAGCTTGTGACACGTCACCCGTAAAAATTATTTATAGTTGATTAAATAACTATATTTCGCTCGTAAGAGCACAATGCATATGTGAATTAGTTGCATGTTATGAATTCGGTTTTTTTTTTTTTGCAAATAGAAGTCTAATATTTAACTGAAGAAGGATAAATAGGTGAGTCTTTTATCCGTCGAGCTTTAAGCCGGCTGTCGTTAGCTCACGAGAATTTTGAATTATTAAAAAATAATACTATCGTTCTAGTTGGCGACTACTGGTAATCATAGAAAATCAGTAAAAGAATAAGTCCTGCATTTCAGAGCTATTTCTGTTTTTGCGCAACTGAAAAAGCGATATATGCAAGAGAAGTAAATAAATTGGCAAATAACACTGACACTCACAGGCCCACAGTGGCAATGATTCTACCCACAAAATTTCTGTTTTTGGTTCCAAAGAATATGCCAAATATTAGTAAAGTTAAGATTGCATGGAAACTGTGACAAAAACGATATACATACACTCTGTTGCAAATTATATTTATTCCCTAAAGGAAAATACTCTCTGATTTTGTACATTTAAAACTCTCTACTTGTTATAAATGAGATGAATGCATGTGAGTGAGAGGAATGCATTTGTCTGTCCATTTAACCTACTTTGTATTCATGTACTCAATTAAGAAGTACATTATTTATAACCTTTGAATGTATTTGTACCTTTATAAATAGGGAACTTTTGACCCTATAAAAAATATACCAAGAAAAGAAATAACAAAATCATTCTCCCTCATATTTATTTTGTCTTAATTAGTATATTATTCTATTTTACTATCATTTCTTAATACTACAGACGATAACAATTAAATTTTCATATTTATAGGAAACTCGCAGATCCATTTGTCCATACAATTTTTTTTTCCTTTTTCCGAAACTCATCTTCAAAATATTGTTTGGTTATACATTTCATTGAATTTTTTATGATGAGTTTCAATTTAACTTAAAAAGTATTTTTGTCATATCTCGCATTTTCTTTTATGGTCAAACGCCTAGTGATTCTAAGTATCTTGTTTATTTAAAGGACTTAGTCTTAACGTATCCCTTCCACTTTGTTGTGTTGCGTCATATACTTTTAAATTCCAGTCGAATTTTACCGATATTTTTTTAAATGAAATTTTAAACAAGAACGGTGAGAAATAAAAGATTTTTTTTTTCATTTGTCCCTTTGTTCACCTGCAGCCCACCGTCCATAAAGAAGTCGGCTCTTTTAAAATTATTTGTTGCTGGACTTTTTAAATATGTTGCTAAAATAAAATGGGTAATAATAACATCATTAGTTGTACCGAGGTATGACTTAATTCCTAATTAATCCATAAATGCATGTATATCATGCTGTTATTAGACTTTTAATAGTTTTTAATAGATCCACCGCAAAATAACCATATTTAATGATAAGAAAATTAAACAAGTCTAGTCTCATAAGTCATACTTATGTTTTAGTTAGTGGTGGAGTCAGAATTCTCAAGGGGTCCAAATATAAACAAGTAAATATATGAGAGGAAATATATATATATATATATATATACTTATACTTAAATTATAAGTGAATGCGATAACTTATAGTATCAAGTATCCATTAGATTGATATAAATATCAAATGTACTACTCCCTCCGTTCGAGTTTATGTGAACCATTTCTTTTTTGGTCCGTTTCAAAAAGAATGACCCCTTTTCTAAATTTGGAAACAATTTAGCTTAAACTTCAAAATTTACCCTCAACGGGAAACTTTTATAAACACACAAATACTCTGTACCCTATTTTAGCTTGTTTAGGACCACAAATTTTAAAAATCTTTATTTTTTCTTAAAATTCGTGCTCAATCAAACATGTTCACGTCAATTGGAAAAGAGAGATTAAGTAATTTTTATTTTTCTATCTGCAGTTAAATAAAATACGGATAATATACTATTTTCAAAAGACCAAAAAGGAAAAACAATAAGCGCCAAATAGCTGTATTGGGAATTTGCATATTGAAGTTGAACCCAAAAAATCACATCAAATAGGTTATGCAATAATTGTTTTTTAAATATTCGCCAAAAGCAACAATTAGGAAAAATCATTGGCCGTCAGATAAAGATCTAACAACAATTTATGTCGGGAATTTAACGGTGATCCTCATTTCTCTCACACAAAGTTCAGGTGCTCAGAGAGAGAAGAAAAGAACCTCTTTTTCAGGGAAGGAAAAGGGCTTGTTTGGTTTGGTTCTTCCTCAGAATCCATAAAAAAAAAACTATCTTTCCTTTCTCTTCTCTCTTTTTCCAGTTTTTTTCTTTCAAATTCTATTTTTAAGAAATGTGAATTTTGAAACATGCGATTTGTGACTTGTAAATTATTGGGTGGGGAGAAAAAGATTGAATCTTTTTTCTGAATTTGATAAGAAGGAATGGAAATGGAGAGTATAGAGTGTGTGTCGTTATCTGATGGCATAGAAGATGAAGAGATCCAGTCTTCTTCTGTGCATCAATTTTCTTCTGCAAAAACTCACAACATTATTCCTTCCGGAATTGCCCCTACCAGTGTCCATGAATTACTTGAATGCCCCGTTTGCACCAATTCTATGTACCCTCCTATTCATCAGGTCTTCTCTTTTTTATTTTTTCTCTTGACTTTTCAAATTACCTATTGGTAGTATTTTTGTCCATTTTATGAACGTCTGTTTTTTAGGTCTTTGAATTTTTTCGATTATTAGTTTTTACTGTTCTATTGATGGATAATGATGCAAATACGTTGGAAGCGGTATGTTGATCTTTGTGCTATTTGTTTTACCTTAAAGGTGATTTCTTTAGAATTTCGAGTGCTTTTTCTACTGCCTTTAGGAATACTGTGAAAACTTTTGGTAGATGTAAAGCAGATAGTTTGACTGTGGTATGCTGATGATTATGGAAGTTTGCCTTGAGAATTTGATTAGGTTTTTATCAATTTCATAAAGATTGAACAATTTATAATCAACTTGCCGCAACTTGAGTTCTTGAAAATGACTGCAGATTATAATTTATAGGATATGCGATATTACTTTTGACTGTTTGCCAAATGACGGCAACTGAGTTTGACTATTCTGCAATTGGCTTACTTACTTAAATCTTTTATGAATATGAGGAGAGATGATTTGCTGCCTCATGCCTGTCCATTAAACATATCAGCCTTATTCTGTACTTTAATTTTGAATCCTTCGATGAGTAGGTAAATGAGAAAGGTTAGTCAGATCCTCGTATCCAAGGGTATCTTCCAGCAGTCAATGAAGTGGGTGAAAACTATAATTCAGATTGTAGCATAGATTTAAAAAAATGTTAAGCATCATTTGACTTTGAATTGCGAAACCTTGAAAAAAAAGTAAGGACCTCTTTCCATCCATAAATTCTCTTCCTTATGCTACTTTCAGCTATCTTTCTTAACTTGCTCCAATCAAAGCAGCTTGTAAAATCCGACCATTGTCTTATTGAGGCCCATGGGTACGGGATACAAACGATTAAGAGTTCTTGCTTAAAAAAAAAGTACTAACTGAGAGTGGTATCTATCCTGACTTTCAAGTAACGCTTGATTGAGGGTGATTTCTTTTTATTTGTTAAAACGTTGATGGGAGAGTTACCTAACACCGGATACCAAGTATCTTGAAGCCAAAGTAAATTGTGTCGACTTATGAGATATGACCTAAATTAGGCCATGTGCAAATGGTGGCTAAGTATTCTCGAAGGCAAAGTAAAT